CTTATGTACAATTTGTGTAATGTTCCTCTCACCACTCATATTTCTTGGCTCAGCGATAAAGAATTACAACACTGCACTTCACTTCACTGAACTGCACAGGACAGAAACATCTCATGCCAATGCCAAGCAGCAACTGAGGGTTACCCTGAATCCTTTGTTGTGATTGGCAGTTGTATTTCCATGCAGATGTCAAGTTTCATGAGCAAAGTAGTGGATTATATAAGCACTGATAAATCTGATGGCCATACTTATGAACATTTGAAAGATCCATATTGATTGAGCTTCACAGATTGTGCTTTGTTGCAGAAAGCCCTGCATCTGGTGCACCTCGTAGAAGAAAGGCTGCGATCTTCTGTGTCCTTATGACCATTACTGCCCCGCCAGCTCCTGCGCAACAGAGAACTCCAGCTGGTGGATGGTATGATCAGTGTGTTAGTCCTCTTAAGGTTCAGAGATTGGGGGGGGGATAATATGTCTGAAAGAACCAGCTACATCACCACAGTTACTCAGCAATAACTGACATAAACTCAGTAGTTATGTCTTTGTTCCAAGTTGGACTCCATAAGTTGATAAAATCCATGTAACTAAACCTATAGAGCAGCATCCAGCAGTTGTTCAGCTGATCATGGAATGCTGTGCCTCTATGGGACCTGACAGTTCATTACCATCTTCACAGGGTCCCTCTTCTGTCTTTTCATCATCCAAATGAATCACACCCTTATATCATGTTTCTTTAAAGATCCATTTTAGTACTCTCCCATCTATGCTTAGGTTTTCCAAGTGACACTACTCCACACATGGAATATAAAAATTATGGTTAAATACAAAATTCATTGGTCGTATTAAATATGTGTGTGTTCTAAAATAAACTGCCAAAGAACTGAAAGTAAAGGTACTCCCTTTTGTTACTTCAGTGAAGATTATGCATTGTTTAATAATCATATATTCTTTGTAGATTGTCATTATGTATTTGAAGTCCGCAACAGACTGCACCGCAGTTCCTGCACTGAGATATACTACCAGTGCCATCTGCAGTCCACAAACACAAACATGCTGCTTGAATTATTGGTACAGATTATCAATGAACCTTGCTTCAACATTCTTCGTACCAAGGTATTGTGAGAGCATGTGGGATAGTGAATTGCTTATGAATGCCATTCTATATCTTATGTCCTGTATATGTCGTATCAGTGTAGTAAAGTGAATACCGTGAAACCCCCATTTAAGTTTGCTTTCGGTAGCAGCAGATTTGAATGCTAAACTTGAAAGTCTTAAATAAAGATAATTGAGCACTGAAATTATTGACTCGGGGTCATTGAAAATATTAAATGAAGGAAAACCTTAAGTCTGGGAACTTCAAATGGAGTTTCAGCACTCTATGTTTTGTAAAAGCAAGCATGAAATGCAGTGAACTCCTGATTTAGTGTTACAGCATGTAGTGGTCTCTTCTGGTTCCAGCTGAAGCCCAATGAAAGTGATTTACTGTCCTGAAGTTAGTGAATTTCAGATTTGTAAATAAGCTGAATTTTGTTTAAGACATTTTCAACCTTCTGGAAATCATTCACTCACTCACTCATGGAGTTGAGCCCTTATTGAGAAGCTGCCATTTATGCAGCCACTGAAGAACTTCCCAGCAATTTATGGAACCCGAAGGTTCATTACTGTGTTCACAAGAGCCCTCCATTCCTATCCTGAGCCAGATCAATCGATCCCATCCTATCTCTCTAAGATCAATTTTAATATTGTCCACCCACCTACGCCTTGGTCTTCCCAGTGGTCTCTTTCCTTCTGGCTTTCCCACCAATATCCTATATGCATTCCTCTTCTCCCTCATTCGTGCTACATGTCCTGCCCATCTAATACCTTTATATAATGTGATTATGGTCAACAGGTGTTTTCTGTATGCTAGAAATCGTGTGTAGTCACCACAGACATTTTTCCTGTTATAGGTCATTGATGCACAGCTGTAATCTTTTGCAAGTGATGTTGCATATTTGACGTGCACTCAAACCAGGCTGTTTGTGGGGCTTTTTGACTCTCAGTTGAGTTTCTTGCAGTATTTATTTCATATTTCTTATTTAGTAAGTATTTTAAAAAGGTTTCTGGTTTTCCTGCTTATCAGGAGCAGCTTGGCTACTTCGTCTTTAGTGGAATCCGGAGATCCAATGGAGTTCAGGGTCTTCGTGTCATTGTGCAGTCAGAAAGACATCCAAGTTATGTGGACCAGAGAGTTGAAGCATTTCTGGCAAAAATGGAAGTAAGTGGTTTCCCTGCAGCCTCCGTAGTCTAGGGGTAACGTTCCCACCTCATGACTCAAGGTACGCGGGTTCAAACCCGGCGGAGGTCGTGGAATTTTTAAGGGCGGAAAAATTCAGGGAAGAAGTCCTCCGGGAGGGTCTTTAAGCCGTGGGTCCCTTGTCGTAGATTTACGGCACGTAAAGGATCCTCATGTCTCTAGGAGACCTCTGAGCAAAATTAGGCAAAGTTTCCCGCCCAAGTAGTTTCCAATGCCTCCGGTAGATGGGGGAAGTATTGGGTACCGAGGGCCAGCCTCGTTGG